CCAAGCAGCATCATAGGAGCAGAAAGGCTGATGTTTTGGGCCTAGATGATGTTTCGGGCCTAGAGGGTCTAGGCCCAAAACGTGAGCCTTTCTGCTCCTATGATGCTGCTTGGCCTGCTGTGTTCATCCAGCTCTGCACCTTGTTGTCCTGGAACTGTTCTCTGTTTGTTATCTGCTGCTACGTAAGAGGTCACTGATGCCCTCTATGTAAAGTCCACATTTCCCTTTTGCCAGATAGCAAGCAGAGTCAGCACATGGTTTTTCAATGATTTCAGGCTCCTCCATGCTGCACATTATCCTTGAATGGACATGTGAACTCTGAAATGCACTTCAACTGGAAAAGATTCCTCTCCTTCAATCTAGCTAACATGAGACCATTTACAGTATCCTATAGTGAACATAATTCCTTCATTCTGTGTGAGTCCACCTAGCCATCTGTGTTTGAACCATCACGATAAACTAAAGGGTTGCTATTAGGTAACAAGGTTTATCTGCTGACCACATGGCTGACCATAAGTGGTTAGCACTGGAGTCAATTCCAGCCTTGGGGGTGACAGTGTGTCTGAGTGAAGTTTGCATCTTCTCAATCACATATCCCAAAATTGAAAATATCCTTTATGTGAAAAGCTGTTGGTCCCAAGAGTTATGGATGAAGGATATTCTGTCCAGCATCATCTATGTGTGCATTTCTTCGTTTAACCAGAAGTGCAATATTAAAGGTACATCCTTAGTGCTATATGATGTTCCATGACCCAAGGTATGAATTTCAGGAGGAACTTCTTCACCCAAAGGGTTGTGAATCTGTGGAATTCCCTGCCCAGTGAAGCAGTTGAAGCTACCTCACTGAATGTTTTTAAGGCAAGGCTAGATAAATTTTTGACCAGTAAAGGAATTAAGGCTTATGGTGAGTGGGCGGGTAAGTGGAGCTGAGTCTCAAAGATCAGCCATGATCTTATTAAATGGTGGGGCAGGCTCGAGGGACCAGATGGCTTACTCCTGCTCCTAGTTCTTATGTTATGCTATGTTATGTAATTGAACAGTTCCAGCACAATGTGCAGACAATGGGTAAATTGCAGGTGATTGCTACTTCTGCACGCTAAGCTGTATCATTCCAGGTAGACAAAGATTGCTATTGTGTCACAATCACTAGTGGGATTAATTTGTTTTCCTACAGGATATGGTCAGGAGTGCTTGAAAAGCCAGGGCAAGGATTTGGACTGTACACAGTAATGCTGAAGCTTCACAAAGCATGCAGCGCATGCAAGTGTTTTTCAGCTTCAGTGTATGGATATCTGTGCAAGGGTGTTGCCCTTTGCAAGGTTTCACATCACTTGAATTTGAAACCTCACCCTCACAGAATGAAGACTTACCCCTTCCACTCAGGTGTGGTCACAGCCATTTTCATCTCCATTGCTCACTTTTTATTTACAGCATGTTGGAAGACAAAGTTCCAGCTGCCGCTTCACCTCTCCATGTTAATGAACCTCCAAACATAAACAACCATTACTTGGAAGCACTCCCTGCCTATCAAAAGGCTTAACACTTCCCTGAGTTCCTACCCAATCCACCTATCTGAGTCTACATCACAGACTTTACATCCTACCACCCGGCCTCACGTATGTCAAGTGAACATGCCAGTCTGTTAGTTCACTATCTCTCTTGAAAACCAGGGTGCTACTTACTGTTAGTGATTCCCAACCCCGCAATGATCCCATTCCCACTTATCTAGAGCTACTTACCTGGACAAATCTAAATAATGAGTGACCAAACCCTTGACTGATCTCTGTACAGCTCCTCGATTGTGGTCCTGTGACTCCCTAAGACTAGTTGGATTGGACCCACAGGGCTGACTGTTGACCCACTCCCTAGACTGCAGAGGTACGGACTCATGTAATAATCTGACTCGACAGCTGACCATGCCCAAGTCCTTGGACTGATATCAGAGACTGGCCTTAACTTATTGTGCTGGGATCCTCTGACTGCAGGGTATATCCCCGGACTTGACTCAAACTACTCATCTTTGACTTTGAGACATGATCATTTGCTTACAGCGCATGCAGTGCGTTTGTTGCATAAGATGTTGGCACGTGCAGGTGAAAGATTAATGTAGCATTGTGCCATACAGCAAGATGTCCACCCTCTTGCTGTTCACATTCTTCCTACCCTGCTGTGTGTTCCTCTGGACTGTGGAGACTGCACTGACAGATGTTACAACCTCTCACCACACTGGCAGGGTCTGGTGATGTGGTGTCTTCTGACAGTTCTCTGGGAATGACAGTGACCCTACTCTGTACCACTCTGTCCACCAGCACCTCCAAGTCCCTGTCTGCAAAGCAGGGTACCAATTTCTCCTCCTCAGCTATGCCCAGGGACAACTTTGCAGGACCACTTTGGACCAAAGCCAGGGTGGCATGGTGGCTCAGTGGTTAGCACTGCTGCCTCACAGTGCCAGGGACCAGGATTGTATTCCATCTTCAGCCGACTGTCTGTGTGGAGTTTTCACACTCTCCCCGTGTCTGCATGCGGTTTCTCCGGGTGCTCCGGTTTCCTCCACAGTTCAAAGATGTGCAGGCTAGGTGGATTGGCCATGGGAAATGCAGGGTTACAGAGATAGGGTAGGGGATGGGTCTGGGTAGGATGCTGCTCAGAGGGTCATTGTGGACTTGATAAGTCAAATGGCCTGCTTCCATATTGTAGGGATTCTATGATATCAACATTTGACTCC